AGCCATTAAAGGGAATTATTGACTTGTGTTCTGGAGCACAGATTTGCTAAGTATCATATCCTTAGAATGTAAGCATATTATAGATATAGGCAGAAAGTGAAGCTGAGAAAATTTTGAAAGGCTAAAAATTACAAGTAAAAAAACTCACTAAATGAAAGGAGGGAGAGGTAGGAAGCGTGTGTGTGAAACCTCAATACATGACTAGTTTCCTTTGGAAGGAGTTAAGTAAGGTAATCAAAACCATTATGAGTCCTAGATATACATGAAAAACTGAATATGTTTACTTTTGTAAAAAAATAAACAGATGTTAAGTCTTTGGGTAAGCACAAATTTCACTTAGAACATTGTGACCTGACCTAGAAATATGGTGTCTTCTTAAAAGATAACTGAACTTACTTTTATGAATTCTCTGACCAATATCTGTTTTTTTATGATGGTTTGAGGAAGGGAGGATGCTAACTTTTATTCTTATTTGCTGTTCTTTTTATATTTCCTGTGTTAAGGACAAGGTTTGGAGGGAGAATTACATAACTAATGTGATTATTACCTGCATGTGGGAGCTTATCCAGGGCCTCAACGAATTTATGGAAATTTAAACCTTATTTTTATCACTACCATGCTGAAGCTTGAAAGCCTCCCCCAGGTATAAGCCCCATTTCCAGAGGGGCTGAGTGTCTGCTGTCTACCCAAGATGCTCCTATAACTAGGAAGTTGGAGGAAGGTCAGAACTGGCTCCTCCCCTCCCGAAACCAAGGCATTGCAGAAATTCCTCTCCCATTTCATTTCAGATGCATATTTTTTTACATAGCTAATCTGAAATGGAAACATTTTTATCCCTATACTCAAAACTGCTCTTGTTTTATCAGCTGACATTTTACAACTCATTAATTTATAATGCAGGTTTAATGCCTTTGAATGTTCCTGGGATAAAAAATTAAAGGGACCAAGCTAGTTTGTATAAAGGCAGATAGTATTTTAATAGCATTTCTTTTATAACAACGCTTTGTGCCCCCTAGCACGTTCCATCGGAATATTTCAAAAAACTTACATGGTCCCTTCTGACTAACTTGCATCCTCGAGTGACAGTCAGTCCCATTTTCAAACAGAGAAATTAAGGCTCATGGATTTCAGTGACACATGTTCAAATTCAGAAGAAAATCTCTTTAAATTTGTCTTTACCTTGTTTTACCTGTCAGTTGTTGTTAGGTGCCGTCAAGTTGGTTCCGACTTATAGTGACCCTATAGGACAGAGTAGAACTGCCCCATAGGGTTTCCAAGGAGCAGCTGGTGGATTTGAACTGCAGACCTTTTGGTTTGCAGCCAAGCTCTTAACCACTATGCCACCAGGGCTCTAGTAGGCCCCCACTATTAAGTGAGAAACTGAACCTTGAATTTAGCCCTGTGATCTTTGCCCGCCCAAGTGCAGAGGCAACAAGTTGACTGAGAAAGGAAGAGTGTCAGTGATAAATCTTCCCCGGAAAACTGAGTCATTGGATAAAAATTCTTCAAAAAGAGCCACATCTTGTCCTCAGTAGCACAGTATGTGGAAAGCAAACCTTCGGGTAGGCATTGTGGGGGGAGGAATGAAGGACTAGGGTTCAGGTGCAAAGTCTTAGAACCCCCCGCCCCCACAACACCTACCACACATTCTAAGGCAGCAACCCAACCAGGCCTTTAATTCACTGGTTCAGACATAAAAGATCTCCAAGCGTCTAAGCAAAGGAGATGTAGGAAATCAAGTGACTCATAAAATCCCAAAGGACTTCCTTTAAACTTTAAGTCACATTGTCAGAGGGACATTTTTCTAAATGAGGTTACATGTCTGTATCACCTATTAGCTAAAAGGTTAAGTGTGCCTCTGTCTTCTACATGAAACCAAAAACAAAAAACCAAACCCATTGCCGTGGAGTTGATTCCAACTCATAGTGGCCCTATGGGACAGAGTAGAACTGCTCCCGTAGGATTTTCAAGGAGCGGCTGATGGATTTGAACTGCCTAGCTTTTGGTTAGCAGCCTGAGCTCTTAACTACTGCACCAGGGCCTCCTTCTACGTGAGGATTCTGCAAATCAATTTTTAAACAAAGGACCAAAATAACACCAAAATTTTGACTGGCACACATTCGTATCTTCTCCTTTTACTTGTAGCTACCACACATCATAGCATCAGACAAAAGAAGACACTGGAAGAATGGTCCCGTCTTTATCACTATTTCAGTGGTTTTAACAGTTATGTCACCTTCCATTTCCGTACTAGCACAAAGTGCCATCATACATACAATTTCATATGCTTCTTTTGGCAATGTTATAAACAGGGAACCCATTATCATTATCAGTTTCACTATTATTTTTACCCATTTCCACTAAATTTCCTTGGATGGTAGGCTAAGGTCACAGCTGGTTGGTTACATGTTGGTTTTGGGACAAGAATGATAGGTCTTCAAGCTCGCAATTCTGTGAGCTGCCTCTTTATTTCCACTGTTTCCAAACTATTGCAGGAAACATGGGTGTACTGTTAGATTCTGGTAACTGATCAAATTGGTAGTCTTCTATAACTCAAATTAAGCAGACCCATGAAAGTAACAATCATCCAAATAATTAAAAGTAAGCAACAATCTCCATTTTGCTGCATGAAAATCCCAAAACCTCCCAGGGATTTCTGTTCCCTGACTCCGATCATGTGGTATTTAAACTTAGATTGCACTCTCCAATGGGAATCTGCATTATTATGTATCATTTGTGTGTATGACTGTTGTATGCCCAAAGGCATACTTTGTGGCTCTGGTTTTGCCACCAACTGGCTGTACAGCCTTAGACAAGTCATTTGACCTCACTGTGCCTTTATGACCTCATTTGTAACACGCCAAGGGTTGACTTAAAGTGTCCCTCTGACTCTACAATTCTATTACTCTGTTTCTCCAAATAGACTGTGAGCTTCTTGAGGTGAGAATATCACACCCTTGTATCTGCTGGACTTACCATATTGTAGGTATTTAATAAATTTTTGATGATGGCACTAAAAGACTTATTGGCACACTTAACTTGAGTGGAGTTATAGGAAATCATTATTGACTTTCTTATTAACAATTAACTGTCTACAGTCTGCATATGCAATTTTCCTTTATATCAATAAAACTTCTGCTTCTGGTAAAGATGAAGTATTGCCCCTTAAAATCAGTTCTTTTGCATATTAACACATTAGCAACTGATGTCTTATTTGTACTATAACTGACAGAATAATGTGGAGAAAGCATATAAGTATGAAAAGGGGTTAGTTGGGTAACATTGTATAGGGCATCTTCAAAACAACGGTTCTGATATTTCAAATGTCAAGCTAATTATCAGCAATGTTTAAATGCTATGATAGGCCATTTTTGCAAATGCTGAAATTTTCCGGCAGGTACAGACATTCTAAAAATGTCACATTTTGCCACTATTCTATTACATGTCACCAGAATACAAAAATCTGAAAATAAAGTTGTATCTGTAGGCAATAAAGAGAAACCATTATTTGTTTTGCATATGATTTTAAAATTAATTGGTAGACTGATACAATTTAGAGTATTGTTTACTTGGGAGAAAGCATAGAGACGGTTTAATATAATGCAATCTGGTGAAGTGAAAATAATGCTTATTATAGATAAACTATGAAGCCTTTTAAATATAGGTTTTTAGCAATGCATATTCAGATATATCTTCCCAGGCCCATTTGCTATAAAGCAAATTTAAGTATCAGCTTTATACCCTTTGGTAACCCCATATTACACATACAGTTTCAGAGAAAATGAAAGTTTAATATGATTCCACATAAAATGGTGAGCCATGCCAATAATTCATATGCACTTCATATGCAAATAGTTTTATCTTATCCATCAATTATCATGTAAACATGGTATCACATGGCAAATTCCCCTGTAATACAGTACCGTACCTGTATATAATTATGGGTGCATTTTGCCAATGCAACTGTTACACAGGATTGTAATTAATTCCTCTGAAGATTACTGTGAGAGTTTTGGATACTGATGCTGTTTTTGGACATTTATTACTGCTCTTTAGTTGGCTTTTTGCTGTGCCTCAGAGACAGATGTAAAATTAGTGTCTATTTTGAGCCAGCAAACAGTACATCTTTCCTCTTGTTTATTGAATTGCAGAAAGGAATTCTTTGGGCTCCCACTTCTTTGTGGTTTTGAAGTAACCATCTGTTTTTATGCCAGCCATGTAGCTCCAATACATGTATAAAATTTTGTTGAGACTCACGCAAGGAAAGGCTTAGTTGACCTAATGTAAGGACCGACTGGAACTTTGCTACGTTACATAGGCCGTTCTATGCTTTTGAATGTCGAATAAAAAATATGTACCACAAGTTCAAAAACAGTCGCTGGTCTAATATATTCTGCCCAGCGAACCTCATTTAAAACCAGTGTACGTTGGTTATTATACAAAATTGAATCTCTTCTTTGCAGAGACAAAGCTATGCTATTAAGATCTCTTATGCCAGTGGTGATGATGGTAGGCAAAGGCTCAAAACGGGAACAAATGGGAAAATCAGCTTATTTTTATTTCATAATGTAAATGGAGTGAGACCCATCATTTACTGACCATTCTATAGTAAGCATATTTTGTGGTGAAAATTTCCCCAATACTCACAATAGGCAAATCCACTGATAGACCTGACAGAAATTTTTAACTGAAAATCCTGAGGATTTAGATGTGGGAAGATGGGATGGAGAACAGGAAATGCAATGTACAGATTAGTGGGTTTAATTTTGATTGTCAAAAGGCCAGCCAGAGAGAGCAGAATGAAATGATCTAGTCTGAATTCAGATATAAGAATTAAGTTTGTTATGAATTGTTTTACCTGGCTTAAAAAAAAAAAAGAGAGAGAGAGTGGAGACATCAATGTAATGGCTTATGGGAATCGATATCCTAGTGAACGCAGCTCTGGAAAAGATGCCATACTGCTTCTGTAAGTGAACTTGACAGCAGTTATTTATTTAGTT